CTTGGGCCCAAATTATATTTCTAACTAATACATACATACATACATACATAGACATATGTAAGTTAAGTAACTGCGGCTCCAAACACATCATACGGGCTCGGGCCCAATTCATTCGTATCATTCAGGTCAGACTGGCCTTTGGCCCATTCGTACTTTCATGTCAAAATGGCCTCTGGCCCATTCATTCATATCAATCTGTTATTCGTGTCAAATTGTTATTTGTGTCAAACTGTTATTCATGTGAAACTGGCCTTTGGCCCATTCAAGTAACAAACTGGCCTTTGGCCTATTCAGACTTTCATGTCAAAATGGCCTTTGGCCCATTCATTCATGTCAAAACAGCCTTCGGCCCATTCATTTATTTCAAAACGGCCTTTGGCCCACTCCATTATGTAAAAATGGCCTTCGGCCCACTCATTTATGTCAAAACGGCCTTCGGCCCATCCATTTGGCATAACAAATATTGTCCACCAATCGAATCAACAAACTTATAAAACTTACATAGAAGTAAGCAATTGGACAACAACATATTTCAGATATCTCGGTTAAGATATTACTCATAGTGGTCGGTTGGTTGGTTTGCCCTGGAGCTCGACCCTACACATTCCATGAACACAAAAGGGTCACAAACAATTCAATCCATTCAAAATTCACAATTTCCTCTCTAGGCTTCATTGTTATCTTTTTAACTCAATTACAATGCCCAATGCATGTCTAAGAGTACTTAGAAGTGAAAGAGAATGGAAAACGAAACACAGAATGTCTTTTCAAAATTTCAGAAAATAGGGTCCTCGCTCGAGCGGACCCTTGAGGTCTGCAAAAGTGCTGGTTGCATCAAATTCACGCTCGAGCGTGAACTCGGGCGCTCGAGCGTGAACTCGGGCGCTCGAGCGTGAACTCGGGCGCTCGAGCGGAAGGTTTGTCTCCATAGCTCCCCGCTCGAGCGTAGACTTACCCGCTCAAGCGGATCCATGCCTGAAAAAAAATACTGGGAGCACGAATTCCCCGCTCGAGCGACGGTTCCCACGCTCGAGCGGACGTCATAAATTCTGGGTTTTCCAGAATGCTTTTTGAGCTCAAATTCGACATTCCAACCACATTTCTTGCATATTATGGCTCCAATTTGACATATACTTGTACTAACATGGTACCAACACTAAAACACATCAACATGGAGCTCAATTTCATGAATCAAACACATGTATGACTCATTTTCCACCAAACTCATTACCTATATAACAATTTCATGCATTCAACACTTACACCCTTATAATTTGTACATTCATGTGGTATATTACTCTCATTCTCAACTTATATGATGAAGAGATGGTCAAGAACATGATCTTCAACTAAAAAAACACATAGATCATGCATTTGGTGCTCAAATATGCAAATTCAAAGCAACTACATACATGCATGCAAACATTGGCCTTCAATTCAACATGATCAACTCAATTTCACTTCAATTCTTGCTTTTGACCATTAATCAACTTTGAACACACAAGATTACACATTACACTCATGAATTCAAGAATCAATTGCTTACCCAGAGGCTCAACTTTTCCAATCAATAGCAATTTCTTGAATAATCTTCAAGATCACCAAGCTTTGAAGCCAAAACCCCAATTTCCTTCACTCTCTCTCTCTTAGCCAACCCTCTCTCTATTCTTGAGTTTAAAATCAGCCAAATTGTAAAAAGGAGAGGAATTGAGGTGTATTGGCCCCTATGTATAAGTCCACTAACTAATATAACCAATATTTAAACAATTTGAGCACTATGCCAACATTTTAATCTAATTAATCTAATCCGAATCAATTTCCAATTAAATTTCACCATAGGCTCTAAAAATTATGCCAATCACAATGGCGTAATCAATTTCAGGTTCTGTGGCCGATAAGGCCTTCAATTTAATATCCAAAGCAGTTAATCAAACAGATATTCATACGGTGAACAGATATAAAGCCCAAATCACATATAATCATGCAATTAACACTCAGATTCAAATTAAGCACATAATCACAAGCATAAGCATGATTAATTAACATAGCACAAGACAAGGTTATCACATCCAGGCTCTTCTAAACTTAAATTATTTACATAATGTGTTTTTCCAAAAAACAAAAATAACCCCAAAAGCAGCTATTACATATTTGGGTATAGATACAAGGGAGGATAAAAACACAAACATTTGGACTCGACTTGCAAAGGTTAAAACACTTAACAATAAGCAAGAATCTGACTTGGCCTTTCCTTGAACCCTAATGCCTATTGTCTCTATTTGCGGAAAGTGCCCCTGGACTCTAAATTCAAAACTCCATCCTAACAAATTTTGTGACAGCACATTTGTGAAAGTACACAACACAAATGAGTTTGGTCAAGACTAAAATTCAACAAAGCCAAACTGACAAACAACAAAAATATATAGTGGACAAACTTGACATAGAGCAAATTATCAGCAAGTATAACATATACATGACCTTCCATGGAAGATACTAAAAACTCATAATGATGCATAACGATTTCAATTTCAAAAATTTAATTTCACAAAACCAAAAAAAAAAAAAAAAAAAAAAAAAAAAAAAAAACACAAATACAAATATGTTCCTGCATTGACAACTGTTAACACACGAAAGAAAATTTCTCTCTTTTGGTAACATCCTTGAAGGAAACAAAACTCGGAACATGAGCGGTCGCATTAAATTCTGATTTAATCCCATAGGTATTTAGCTTCTTGAATTTACCCAACTTAGGATTATACATCTTGAGAGCATCCTTGTTAGCAAGCATCAATATTTCACCACTCTTTAGAATCATAATTGGATTATAATAGTCCAAATTTCGTTTCCTACCAATCCCATTTCAATAACCAACTATTTGCTCCACGACTCCTTAATCCTATAATCTTTCATTAACCTTATATCCATACGAAGAGGACTAGAAAAATCACAAATGGAGAGACCACCTGTTGGGGATCGGGGATCCCACCTAAGACCTTGTAGAAATCATACCATGCAGAAAAACACACCCGCACAGAAGGAGACACCATATTTAACGTGGTTCGGCCTTAAAGCCTACGTCTACGGGAGAGTATCCGATTATCACTATAACAATGGAGAGATTACAGAAAGATTACAATAGAGGAGGAGCTCACAGTCTCCTCACTCACCCACTCACCCGTCTCCCTCGCTCACACCGAGAGAGACGGTCTCTCCGCCTCACATCTCTCACTCTCTTTGGTTTGCTCTCTTGGTTCTCTCTATCTCAACTCTCCTCTCACCCTTTCCATTTATACATATTAAGAGGGAGAGGAGTAGGGATTGATTTGGTGAGTGGATTGGTAGTGGGGTGGTTGCCACCCCTACCCATTAATGGGGAGGTGCCACCCCCACTTTCTCTAGTGGGTGCTCCATTGGCTCACATGGGTTGAAAGTAGAGATATCCTTCAAGTCACCCCTCAACTAATGTGAGGTGATCCACTACATACACTGCTGCTAATCTTCTGACGCCCAAAAAATCAATAGAACCTTTATCTCCTCACTGAAACACTGCATCCCTTGAAGCTAGAGATAATACACCAGAGATACAAGAGGAGGAGGGAATTCTACATCCTCAACTCAACTCACGCCACTCTTTGATTTGGAGAGAGCCTTTGCTCCTATCTCCCGCAGATCTCTTCCACGCTTCCTGTCTCGGATGTCTTCACCTTCTATGCTTGAACTTGCGTAACCAAGATATCCTGCACTCCCTAATTGGATGTCATGCACCCCCTGATTGAGATGCCTAGCACCCCCTGCCCGGGATGCCTTGCGCTCCTTTGAGTGCTCTATGACACTATAGCTTTTCCTTGAAATGCCACTATCCTGCCATGTATTTCTTTACACGGCCAAAACTGGAGCAACAGAAAACTCTTCGTTTTCCTGGTTAACGTTCCTAGTTTTCTTTGCTCAGAGTTTCCCTTGAACTATCCTGAACTATCAACATTTTCCTTTTGCACTCTTGAACAACTTCCCAGCGTTTCCACACACTTGTTGTTCATGCCTTTTGCAATCCCTGATCTCCAGTTCCGCGATACGCGTTACCTGTGTATCTATCACTTGTACTACGAGATGATGGTTGACAGTAGCTCTTTTTTCCAAAGCAACTTCAACAGATCTGTACAAGTCACCAACTATGCAACACCTAGCATAGTACCCGCACCCATACTTCTTGAGTGCTCATCGTGGCTCCATCTTTCCTTCTGTGCTCGAGCTCGCCAAAGAGATCCGCAACTACTCTGTTTTATCAAGAGGTGCGTTTGTCGCCACAGAATCAAAAAACCAATACCATAACCCAGGTATCTAATCATTTAGTCAAAATTGAATGCCATATGTTGTACAAAACACAAGCGTTTTTCCAAAATCATAGTAGATTCCATTGCTCAAAATCACATTGAGCCAATGCAAAGGAAATACAGAACCAATCGAGCTAGCTTTTTGATTTTCTACAACTTAAGCTCCACCATAGTGCCAAGTTTCGATTTCCATAGGCGCCAAACAAGTTGCCTTTGACAACTTCAAACAAAACATGGTGAGCAACCCACTTTAACCAATGTTGAGGAAACTAAACAAGAGAGGCTTCAAATTCTCCGTCAAAGTAACTTCAAAAACAGTACCAGAAACATCATGTCTGATCAACCATCGAACACAATACTACTTTCTTCAAGCTTGAATTAATCAAGAAAGCCAAAAAAATTCTTCGAGAACTGAGGCAAGTTCTCCACCAAACAAAAATGGACTGTGGATGCAGTTAGGCTCTAACCAGTTCGAAAGTATCGAAACAAACTTCAAACGAACTAACAAAATACCAAGAGCCAAAAATTCTAAAGTGTCGAGCAAAATCCAGATTCCTCTAACTGCCATTCCAACTGGAAAACACAAGATGATGCATTATTTTCACAGCTGCAAAAAAAAAAAAACGGTCCAAAGGCGCGTGCACCGTAAATGCACAACTTCAATAGTCCCTACTGACTCCACCGATTCTGCAAACGATGTATCCCCTCCAAATCCAATGACAGATTAAGGTATGGATCCCAACACATGAGATTCACAAAATCACCATCTTCACGTTTCTCCGCAACAATCTCTTCCAATCTTCAATGAACACCAACGGTCAGACCGCTTCCATAGAAGCAAACACCTAGAATCTGAATCGTCACCTAGACTACCAATAGCTGATGTCTTCGAATATGGACCAAATTGTGCGAATGAAAATCCATAAGAAGAAGAAACAATCAAGTCTAACAAACAGGAGACACCCCTGGATCTAATCAGACATGCTTATAGATCCCAACTGTGATAATGAATCTCAATAAACCATGACTCTAAAAATCACCAGTAATCTGTGAAAGACCGCCAACAACAATGCCTCCAATAGACATTGAACAAAAAATGCCAAAGCTCCACCAAGATCTGAAGTAGATTGTCACACCTTCTCCTTCAAATCGATAAATGCGGATACCAAGGCTTTACCAAATGCGGGTCTTCCAACAAGGATCCATGAAGGATCTCCAGCATCTCCACAGAGGCTAATGCCAATAAAGCACTACTATTTGGACTTATTACATATGCCAAATCTCCGTAGTACACTTTGCCAATGCTGGTTCTCTCTATCCCCTAGAGAAAAACCTAATGAACTTTGAAGTTCGGTAACTAACCCAAGAGTCTCGAAATGAACTGATAACTTTTGCAACTGACTCTTGAACAAAAATTTTCACCTCCATCACCCACATGGATGATAAAAACACTATTGTACAAATATGCCTCCATTCCACTGAGCATCCGGAGTGAATCTGTACCTCCTATTTGGAATGTCTTCAATCGCCACACATCATACTGCATGGCTCGCATCTATATCATCAGGAATGCTTATAATTTCCTTGTTAAGGTGACTCCACCCAAACTCTCTTGGTGCCCGTCGCGACTTCACTGCCATGAACCAGATTCAGGACAAAGAAAAAAAAATCTGCTTCTCACTGGGTGCGCACTATAGCGTCTTATCCTTTTCAATTTCTCTATCTGGAGCTTTCTTCTATGAACTAGTTGCTGTTGCTAGGCCAAAATTTGGCGCACTGTACCTTTGTACGACTCTGCTGCGTACTCTTGCACTGTTGTATGCCAGCACCTTGTACGACATTCCTGCGTACTAATCTGTGTTATTGTAGGTACGTGCACCTACATCTTATGTGTGCACTACTGCAACTGTTGCCCTTCCACGTTCACATACTACTAGTACTTCTTGTATTATGTTTGACAGTAGCTCCAACTGCCACAACATTCCCCTGAGCCTGCACTAGTTGCCAATCATCTGTCTCTTGATGAAATGGTCTTCTTCTAATTGAGCCAGATCTCTTGATTGCCTAAACTTGACGACCAGTAAAGTTCCCAGGAAAGACTGGTGGGGTCACAATCAGTCCCACTCAAGAACCAGTCTCCTTAAACAGTGTCTTTTTTACAGAACTTTCCTAGACATTGTTGATCTTGAGATAATCATATGCAATTCTCCTAATCGCGCCCTGACCAATCTTGATCTCTATTGATTTTCCATTTGATCAAGCCTGATCTCCTTTGGTCTTCATGGATCTATCTCGATCTGTATTTGGTTGTCCAGTCTGGTCAGAATCTTCCCATTCTAACATCTTCAGTGAATCCGCAGCGTTCTATAATATCCGACAACCTTCCTTCGACTATTAAATATGACAAACACCCATGTTTTGACAATCTTTAAAAATCATTCAGAATTTCACCATTCTAACCTCGCGGTTGTGTCCGAAACAGTCCGATTAGCTAGGACCAAACGTCGCTGCACTTCCAGGGACCTCACTGAAAAATTTCTCCAAAACTACGGCAAAATTGCAAATTTCCAAACACAAGGACCAAAATGTAATTTCACAAACTACAGGGGTCAAAATGAAATTTTCCAAAAATTCAGTGACCAAATTGTAATATTTGAAAACTTCATGGACCAAATTACGATTTATCAAACTTCTAGGGGCCAATATGCGATTTCTTAAAACCTCTGGCCAACCTGTAATTTCCAGAAGCATCGATTTAAACATCTGACCGTACGGATGGGTTCAGAATACTCCAAATAGTTGGAAACCACTATTGGATCGTTAGAAACGGACTCCGAATGGCTAAGATTAAGCCAAAATAGTTTGGACGCTTCAGATCTGTGGCTGCACCTTAGCCACGGCGCACTGGATCTCTCTTCTGCCTCTAGTTGACTGGTCAACTGAGGTGTTGATGTGGCAACCATGTGGCATTATGTGCTGACGTGGTAGATGACGTAGATACCATGTGGTGACGACGTGGGGGATGACTAGGCTAATGACGTGGTAGCTACGTGGCCGTGGTGCTGACGTGGCTCTGACGCGGTGCCACGTGGCATGCACGTGGCAGACACACGCGCTCGCCACGCACCTTCTTCCTTCTGCCGTGCGTGGGGTGCGTGCACGCGACTGGACCGAAGCGTCGGCTGACTGCATGGCTTGTGGAGGCGCGTGTTGCGACTGGGACTCACACGCCATCTTCAGGCGGCGCATGAGGGCTCGCCCAGCCTCCTCTGGGGCTCTACTTTGCATTTCTTGGCTCCTCTTGTCGAGATCTTGCTCTTGGTATGCTCAAAATTGAATTTTGAGCAATTTGATTTCGGGACAGTTTCAAAAAACAATCTGTTTTTGTTCCGAAAATGACCGACGAGGCTCTGATACCACTTGTTGGGAATCGGGGATCCCACCCAATACCTTGTAGAAATCATACCAAGCAAAAAAACACACCCACACAGAAGGAGACACCATATTTAACGTGGTTCGGCCTTAAAGCCTATGTCCACGGGAGAGTAACTGGTTATCACTATAACAATAGAGAGATTACAAAAAGATTACAATAGAGGAGGAGTTCACACTCTCCTCCCTCACCCACTCACCCGTCTCCCTCGCTCACATCGAGAGAGACGGTCTCTCCGCCTCACATCTCTCACTCTCTTTGGTTTGCTCTCTTGGTTCTCTCTATCTTAACTTTCCTCTCACCCTCTCCATTTATACACATTAAGAGGGAGAGGAGTTGGGACTAATTTGGTGAGTGGATTGGTAGTGGGGTGGTTGCCACCTGCACCGATTAATGGGGAGGTGCCACCCCCACTTTCTCTAGTGGGTGCTCCATTGGCTCACATGGGTTGAAGATAGAGATATCCTTCACTACCTCGTAGCACACCCACGCGTATATGATCCGAAAACTCCTTACGAAGACCGAACTCAGGAGGTTCAGGAACAAGCCAAAATTCCTCCCTATCAAAATTGAAACATCGAATGAAATCAGGACTATCACATATAAAATTAAGCCAATGAAGAGCTCCATTCACAAAAGAATTGAACAAGAGATTCCTCAAATAATAAGGAACACTACCTAAGTTTCTCCACAAACCATCACCAATTGTGTAAATCATAGCCTTTGGATCATCACGATAAGTCTTTAACTCAGTAATGGGGTTGATTGACTCGACAACCCGTTCGATAAAAACCCGTATAACCTTGTATTGATTAGTCTTGAGAATAAACCCAAAAGCAGTAACAGTGGGAACACAGTAATGTCCATCATAGGTTGCATATGGTAAGGCAATATACTCGCCCAGAATCGGATTACACACACAAATCACAGATTTGTATCACAAACAAAGAAACCCATTACAAGAATTCACAATTTCTTGACCTGTATATGGGATGTTGATTTCAGTAGTGAGCTTAAGATGGGCTTCACGGAGATGGGTTTTGTGGAGGATTTGGAGGTCGAACAAGCGGAGTTTTCTGGATTCGTGGTGGTCTCTAAAGATGGGTTTGATCAAGAGGCTGATGGGTGATCTTGAGAGGTGGAGTTTAGCGAAGCGTGGGTCTGAGATTGAAGAAAACCATTCTTTGCAAACGAGTTGGCAACGAAAGAGGGATTTGATGGGGAGTCTGGAGAGGATTTCAAGGATGATTTGGATTGGAACTTGTTCTGGGATGGACTGTTTGTTCTTCTTTTTCTTCGATATGATACTCTGCTTCATCATCTTTTTTTATTTAATATTGAAAGGATTAGAAAGGAGTGATCGATCTCAATAATGGTATTGATAGCAATGTGTTTAAGATGGGATGTTAATCAAGGATTTGGGAGGTTGGTTTGGGGGGGAATTGGAACAAAAAGTCCTGCCAGAATATTGGGTAAAAGCCATAAATCCAAAAAATATTCACTTAAAAAAAAAAAAGAATCAGTGTGTTTGGTTTAAGTTTTCTAAATTCAGTTTTTTTAAAATTGAATTTTTTATTTTTCGAATTTGTTTTTTGTTTTTAGTGAATATTTTTTAAATTTTAAGTATTTTTTTTACTTTTTTAGATGCACCTTACTTAGAATTATCTAAATAGTAAAATATTTGTGAAACAATATTTTAAAACAATAATAAATACACAAAAATACGAAAAATGTACTAAAATTTTGTATTTTTTTTTTTGGCATTTTTTGGTATTTAGTGTATTTTTTAAATATTTTTTTTACAAATATTATACTTTTTAAGTGTATTTTATATTAGGTGTGTCTAAAATTTTTAAAAAAATGCTCAAATATTAAAAAAAATAATTGAAAACATTAAAATACGAAAAATAAAAAAGTTGAATTTTCTGAAAATTGTTTTCTGAAAACTATAACTGTCACGACCCAAACCTGACCCTATAGGTTTAGTATCGCAACCGGCCAGTAATCCTTGGACTACCAAAGGCCTCATGACAGATTAATAAATAGATAAGGCCTGAGGAAGCAAATATACAAAATAGACAAGGTCCGATGAGCTGTGATAACGTACATGAGACAGTACAGCTAGAAACTTTTACAAAATGCGGACAAAATCAACACACATGATATATATATACACAACACGCCTAGGTGTTCAGGACAAAAGTCTCGCCCACAACTTAACAACAACATAGTTTAATACAGGTTACAAAAATAGCCACAAAACCGAACTTCATCAGGAACCTCCTCGGGAGGCGCAAAGGTTGGCTGACAAAAGAAACAGAACGTAGGCCGTCAGCTCTGGCCCTGGTCACGTGCTGGCCCACCTACAAACATAATATAAACAGTGAGCAGAAGCTCAGTGAATAATAACGGAGTAAAGGGTTTTAATGAATGAGTCCATACAGATTCATAGATCATAATTCGTTTTCATAACAAATTCATATTCTTGTCCAAATCATATACAGAAGTCATAAGTCTTGCTTAAGCATACGTGGTACATCCATTAGCGCTAACAGAGCAGATACAGAATAGATGCAGAACATGTAGGGGTTATAAATAACCAGTTCCATAAAGGAACCTCCGGATCTGGGTAACAGAGAATAAACATGCTGAGCCCTAGGATGGAGCCTCCGGTACGGGTAATAGAGTGTAGACATATTAAGTTCCATAATGGAACCTCGGATACCGGGTAATAGCTAACACATATCACATGATGCTAAGGATGCCACGAATACATATCAGAAATTGGACAATCATTCATTGTACAGAACACAGTACTTCAGAAAACAGATCTTATTTATCACACAGAAAATAAATACAGTTGAACATAACTTTACTAAGTTATTACTAACAGTCGGCTTCATGGCAAACAGATGGAGCAGACTAGTCAAATGGTATACGGCACGTGACCTACATGATACATAAGAAAAAGACACCTGAAACACACGCTCGAATTGTACATAACTTATTTTGTTGTTCTTAGTGCACTTCTAGTCTTTAATCCTTATTATGGAGTCTTAAACATGTCCTAGGAATTCCTAGGATGGAATGAGGATGCAAATATGAATTGGAAAATATTTTGCACAACTTGTTGAAAATAAGGTCTATGCTCGAGTGTGGCTTTCCTCACTCGAGCGGACATGCAGACAATGAAGCTCTGCTCGAGCGTACTACAAACTATTGAAAAAGTATTGGATCTGAGATTTTCACGCTCGACGGACACTCGATCCCCGCTCGAGCATGAGACTCAGACCCTCGCTCAAGCACGGATTCCTTCGTTCGAGCGGACTGCAAAACACACAAAATTCTGGGTATATGCATTTCACGCTCGAGCGTGACCATCGATGCTCGAGCGGAAGTGCATGTACTTAGAGTTCACGGTCGAGTGTGAAGTTCCTCGCTCGAGCATGGATCAAATTTTTGGAATTTCCAAATTTGATCACCAAGCTCAAAATCAACCCCAAATGCATCAAACTCAATTTTCTGGGCCCAAAACTTTGGAAAACACTTAGAAACTTATGAAACAACATGTTTAAAGCATCATAACAAGAAATCATGGCCCAAAAGCATGCCAATTGTGCAAAATTCAACTTGTAATGCCCTCAAAATAATAACATTAAACCCATCAAATAAGGCATTCATTGACATATGAAATAACCACATTCTTCTATTTATCAGAGTTTCATTACAAAAGTATTACATTTTAACAACAAAAGCAAAATGCCCTACGGGCTTACAGCTTTCCAAGTTAACACTTGGTTACAACAAAAGAGTACTAACTCATTTACACATTAAGCCCTTGGCTTGAATTTACATGTAATACATCAAAAATAAAACGACAAAAGTATGTCCGCCTCTAGCCTCCCAAGCTATGTCCTTGACGTCAAGTTCACATTCACTCATAAATGGTTTTGACAAACCGTCTTCGCCGTGTGACTTACCATGCGACAAGGAACACATTACCTTTTCGAACCCACCCCAAAAGACATTTGGGGCCCACTCAATTTTGGGCTCAAAGTTGCTTGAGCTCCCTCCAAAAACAACCGTCCAAATGTTTCAAATTTCAATTCCATCCTCCCATAAAATTGCAATATATATATATATATATAACAAGTTACATTTCTCCTTTCCAATCCATTCATTCAAGAGAAACAAATAATCTCCATCTAACAAGAAGACACCATGATGAAACATAGCATACCCAACAACAAGAAGAAGAAACACTCCATTCCAAAAGAACTTCCATCCTAAATCATCCTCGAAATCCTCTCAAGACCTCCCCATTAAACCCCTCTTCCTTTCCCAACTCGTTTCCAAGCACTGACTTTCTCTGATCTCTGATCCTCACTTCGTCAATCTCCACATCTCAAGATCACCAGTCAGCCTCTTGCTTAAACCCTTTTCTCGCAACCGTAAATCAAACCAACTCCACTTGGTTGACCTCCAAACCATCCATAAAATCCGTCCCCGCGAAGCCCAATTGAAACTCAACCTCACAATTAACTTCCCACTTCTTGGAGACCAAATAGTGAACTCTTGCAATGGTTTGCTTTGCTTGTGTAATGATCATTCTGAAATTTCCTTATGCAATCCAATTCTGGGTGGCTACATTATCTTACCATGGACAACATATGATGGAATTAAGTATCATCACACTACCAATGCTCTCGGTTTTAGTCCCAAGACTAACCAATACAAGGTGATATGGCTTTTTCTTCATCGGGTTGTTAAGTCTTTCGACCCCATTGCTGAGTTTCATACTCACCACGACAAGGCGAAGGCTAAGGATTTGTTTGGAAGGATTTTCAAATCACAATTCTACTTACACATTCTAATATAATGTTTGGATAGAGTTTTCAAGCTATATTTCCATAACATATAGAAAACTCTGTGTCAAGAGCGATTTTTGAATTTTTTTTTTGCAAATTTGGCCTAACCAATCGTCCCACACTACAAGAAATTGCATTTTTCGCAACGCAACAAATTATGTTGCTAAAAGGGAAAATTCGTTGGCAAAGAGTTTTGCCGACACACAAAGCTACGTTGGCAACCCGTAGGCAAAAGTGAGTTGGCAAAAGTTTTTGCCAACGAAATTATCATTGCGTTGGTAAAAGTAATGCCTTTAGCGACGAACATAGTCGTCGATAAAAGCCTTCATCCATCGTCGGCAATTTACCTTGCGTTGGTAAAAGTCATTCAAATATGATGATTGTGTGGCACTTTTCGCGACACAAATTTGCATGGGCAAAAAATATACTTTTAGCAACAACATATGCGTTGGCAAAAGTAAACTTTTGGCGACACATTTACGTCGGTAAATGTTGCCATTTGCCAACGATTTG